CCCGCAGAGAAACCGTATACCCCTTAACTGTCGCCCTCTCTTCTCCCCCAGTCCCACACGGCCGTCAGTCTTTCTGTCTCCATGGCCTTGCCTCTTCTGCCCATTTTCCTGGAGACGGACGCCTGCAATATGTGGTCACTTGGGTCTGACCTCTTTCACTCAGCATATTTTCCAGGTTCATCCAGGATCCAGCCTGAAGCAGGGCCTGGTTCCTCGTAGGGCCGAGTAGTAGCCCATCGTGCGAATGGACCCTGTTGTGTTTTTCCAGCCATCAGTCGACGGACCTCTGGGGCCGATTCCGCTCCTGGCTGTTGCGAATAGTGCTGCGTGAACATTTATGTACAAGTGTTTGTGCGGGTACCCGTTGTCGCCTCTCTCGGGCATGTACCTGGAGCGGAGTCCCTGGAGGCAATGGCACCTCCACGTTTAACCATTTGAAGAAGCACCAGTTTTCCAAAGCGCTCCACCGCCTTGCGTTCCCACCAGCAGCCCCGCAGTTTTGCGTGTGTTTGAGAATGTTGGAGGCCCCGGCCCTGGCAGGCACGCCCCCGGGCCCCTGGGTGGCTGGTGTTTTCAGGGTCTGTAGGATTTGTCTGAAGCAGGTATGGGAAGACAGCAGACCTGGAAATGACTGCCATGAGAGAAGTTTGTACTCACGGCCCCTAGGAGCAGGAGGCGGGGCACGTCACACAGGGCCGCAGGGGGCTGCCGGATGCCCCAGGGTCAGTCAGGAGCCAGAGGGCGGGCATGAGTGGAAGATGTGGGCAAGAGCCTTCCCTGTGGTTTCCGTGGGGAGGAATGGTCGGGGCGGGGTGAACAGGCTTAAGACTGGCTGGATTGAAAACCCCAGCGGGCTCTGGGAGGCAGGCGCTGGCCCTGGTTGTCCGGCCCCGGGCCCTGGGGTAATCGGGGCAGGGGGACGGTGGCCCCGAGTGTGAAAGCCCGACGGACGAGGAGGCTGGAACGTGGGCTCTGGGTTGCTGGGTGTGCATGTGAAAGGTGCTCTTGCAAGCGAGTCCTTTCCTGTCTCTAGCGACCCACCAGCCGTAGCAGGGGCAGGCTTTCCTGGGTCGGCAAGGTGCCACCTGTCAGATCATCAGAAATACGGAGTAAGGGGCGCCTGGGTGGCTCTGTCGGTTAAGGGTCCCACTCGTGACTTCGGCTCAGGTCATGATCTTGTGGTCTGTGAGTTTGAGCCCCGCATGGGGCTCTGTGCTGGCAGTGCAGAGCCTGCTTGGGATTCCGTCTCCCTCTCTCTATCCCTCCCCTGCTTGCTCTCTGTCTCTCTCTCTCAAATAAAAATAAGCTGTAAATACACACATACATACACACATAAAATGGCCCCTGGGCATCGTGCTGGGGTGCTGTCGGGCATTACTGAGTGCAAAAAGGCTGTGATGCGTCTTTCGGAGGAGGAATTACGTGTGTTAGGTACACTCTGCTCCCTTCAGCCATGAGTTGTAGTCCTACTGACCATGAGTTCAATGCTAATAAATCAACAGCATGTATGATATAAGGTGTCTTTCAAGAGAAACACACATAAAGCAAGGTTGCGAATTGATGGGCTGATGACGGGCATGGGCAGAAGTTCCCGGGAACCTAGCCTTGTAGCTTCCTCAGGAGCGGCGATTCGGTATTGGCTAAAGCAGGGTTCACTGCAACTTTATGGAACATCACTATGGGGAATAATGAGAGGCCGCTGAAACTTTTTGTCTTGAAATAGCTTAAAATTCACAGGAAGTTGCAAAACTAGTACAGAGTCTCAGGTGTCCTTCACCAAGCATCCCCCAGGGATGGTAATCTGACATGACCTCAGCCCGTGGTCAAAACCAGATCACTGGCATCTGTACAGTATTGTTAACTCGGGGACAGACCCTGTTTGGGTTTTGCCAGTTGTCACCTGCACTCTTTGGTGAGGGAAAGGGAGTGAATAGTTCTAGGACATTTTATCCTTTGTATGTAGAGATCTGAGTAACCCAACTCCACTGTCAAAGGGCAGAAGTGTTCCATCTCAAGGAAACAGTGACTCCTTAAAAAAAAAAATAAATAAATAAATAAATAAATAAACATAATATTGACCATTTTAACCGTTTAAAAAAATTTTTTTTTAATTTTTTAATGTTTATTTTTGAGAGAGAGACAGCATGAGTGAGGGAAGAGCAGAGAGGGAGAGGGAGACACAGAATCCGAAGCGGGCTCCAAGCTCTGAGCTGTCAGCACAGAGTCTGACGCGGGGCTCAAACTCACAGGCTGCGAGATCATGACCTGAGCCAGAGTCAGACGCTTAACCAATTTAGCCACCCAGGCACCCCCATTTTAGCCATTTTTAAGAGTACATTCCAGTAACATTAGCTACATTCGCACTGTTGTGCAACCACCCCCACCTCTGTCTCCAGAACTTTCTCATCTCCCCAAACTGAGATTCTGTCCCCATGAAACACGCACTCCCAGCCCCTGGCTCCCACCATCTACTCTCTGTCTCTGGACGGGACTCCTCTAGGGACGTCCTGTGAGCGGATTCGGGCAGTATTCATCCTTTTGTGTATGGCTTATTTTGCTTAGCATGATGTCCTCAAGGTTTGTCCGTACTGTAGCAACCATCAGGATTTCCTTCCTTTTTGTGGCTGAAAAATATTCCATAAAACAATGATTTCTTGACCCGTTTTGCGGGAGGCACTGCCCTCCATTCTACTCGGGAAACAGCGATCAGAATAAATAAGTAAATTGTATCATATGTGAGAGAGACCAGCTTACTGTTCTTTCAGCTGAAGTTCTGTCCCTTGTACCCCTTTGAGTACCTGGTGTCCCTAGTCACGACCCTTAGCCGTGAATACCTCAAAGTATCTTCTCAATTATCAAGGGAAGATTTAAGTTACTGTAGATTTAGTGTGTCCATCATTTATTAAACTTCTTGGGGACTAGTGATGCTCAGAAGATGTTTATGGTGACTTTTTCTCCTGCAGACTCTTTGGTTAAAGCAGAATGTGGGACACCTGGGTGGCCCAGTCGGTTAAGCATCCAACTTCGGCTCAGGTCATGATCTCGGCAGTTCACAAGTTCGAGCCCTGCACTGGGCTCTGTGCTGACAGCTCAGAGCCTGGAATCTGCCTCAGATTCTGTGTCTCCCTCTCTCTCTCTCAGAAATAAACATTAAAAATATTTTTAAAGCAGAATGTATCTCACTTCAGGTGAGATGTTGGGTCACAGGAACAATCGGTCAGCCAGGCAAAGGACGCATTTCAGGGTTGGTCCCATATTTGTATATTTGAATCATAATTGCCTAGGTGGGGTTTACAGTGGTGTCGAAATGGCAGGAAATGCCTGCCCTGGACCACGGAGGCCTCAATTTATGACTTTCACCTTGGTGAATGGGTGTTCATATATGAGAGAGAGCCTCATCACCTTTGTCTCTATGATAATAGCAGTGGTAAGCCACTTAGTATCATGACGCTGGGGTGTTTGGGGTCACTGGGCAAATGTCACCCTCACCATACAGAGCTGTGTTACAGAATGAACGGCTACGGATACGTGTTCCGCGTGGAATATGGCATCACGCCACCTAGTGCTTAAGTCTCAGCTGATAAGCTCTGTTCATTGCTCCTGGACCAGTTTTCTCTCCGACATGTACCCAACTAACTGCATGTTTCCAACCACCTTGAATTTCCACCTAAGTTAAAACTTTCAGAATGCAGAATCCCACTGTGCAGAAAAGCTCTTAAGTACATTTTCCTCTAGTGCTGGTCCCTTAGCCACCCCAAAGGTCATGGTCTGCATGCGGCAGAGAACCACGGTCCCCACTACTTCCCTGTGTGACAAAAAACGAAGCTTGGGGGTGGGGGCACCTGGGTGGCTCAGTGGGTTTAAGCGTCCAACTCTCAGTTTTGGCTCAGGTCATGATCTCATGGTTCCTGAATTCGGGCCCCACATTGGGCTCCATGCTGACAGTGTGGAGCCTGCTTGGGATTCTCTCTCTCCGTCTCTGCCCTTCCCCTGCTCGCTCTCTCTCTCTCTCTCTCTCTGTCTCAAAAATAAACAAAATAAACTTAAAAAAAACAAAAACAAAAAATGAAGCTTGGGTGCCCGGGGGGACCGAGGAGCCAGGTCAGAAAGGCTAGTGGACAGATTTCTTCCTTTTTTAAATTTTTTTTTTTTTTTTTTTTTTGAGAGAGAGTGCGTGAGCAAACTGGGAGGAACAGAGAGAGAGGGGGACAGGATCCAAAGTGGGCTCTGTGCTGACAGCAGAAAGCCCGACACAGGGCTTGAACTCATGAACTGTGAGATCATGGCTTGAGCCAAAGTCAAATACTCAACTGACTGAGCCACCCAGGCACCCACAGTCACCTCCAGATTTCTTCCTAACGTTGCTCTTTGTCCTCGCCTGGAATAGAGCTTTCAGTGTGGTTTTCACCCTGAGAATGAATTAGCCAAGCAGCCCATCTCAGCTCAACTTGATTTGTCAAATAGAAGAGGGTGAGAGTTTGGCCTTCTGAATTTCATCTTTCCATCAGTGGGAAAGGTGACCAGAGAATTACACACATCCTATCATCTCGTTTCCTACTTTAACGAGCAGATGAGTGTGAAGAACCCTTTGGAGCCCCTGTCGTGTGTCAGGTTGGTTTGCAGTCGTTGCGTAAAATAGGATTGGCACCTCTCGTCCGTCCGCTCTGCTGCTCAAATTCTATCAGAGTGCTTTTACGGTCAGGGGCGCGTGTGGCCACACATCGTGCCCTGCAGTCTCTGGGTCTCGGAGTCATCCTGACATCCGATCTCGGGTTAATTACAGCCGTGTGTGTGTGTGTGTGTGTGTGTGTGTGTGTGTGTGTGTGTGTGTGATGTCGGCACGAGCCACGCCAAGCGCAGAGCTCTTGGTGATTTTAGATTATTTACAGTGAATATAAACTACTCTCCGCCTTTCACCTCCTGCCAAGATGGAAGGGGTGTCGGGGTTTTTTTGTTGTGATTTTACCAAAGGAGAAGATATTGTGCGATTTCCACAGTAAATGGTCACAGTGGGGACCAATTTCCTGCCCTCCAGACCCGCTGTCTCAGCCAATACAGTAGGAGAAGACGCAGCTTTACATTTCTAGAAGGATCACACGGAGGCATAAAAGCGACGCAGCCCGGCCTTGCACCGCACCGGGCCCTGGAGCCCGGACCGTGAACATGGGGAACACGCATTCCAAAAGCAGTGACCGAGACGGCGCGCTCCGTGGCCGCCCCGAGCTGTCTTTCTACAGCTCTTTTCCTCGGAAATGGAGCGAGAACGTCTTTCTGGATAACGAGCTGCTGACCTCCAAGATCCTGTCTGTGCTGCGGCCGCAGTCGGAACGGGGCTTCCGGACGGGCCAGCTCCGCTACCCTGCCCACTTTCTCAGCACCAACTCTGTGTTTGCCTCTGTCGCAGCGTCCTTAAAGGAGCACCCGAGGGCCACCCTCTTGTCCGATGGCAGCCCGGCCCTGTCCAGGAATGTCGGCATGACGGTCTCACAGAAGGGGGGGCCACAGCCAGCACCCAGCCCGGCGGGAACGGGGACGCAGCTCGGGTAAGTCGGGTCCTGTCTCTGCGCCAGGGGCAGCTACAGGTGAAGGGAGGGAGCGGGATGGGACATTCCCCTGGGACCCCGCAGATGGCCTCTCGGAAAGGAGACCCTCAGGTCCGTGTGAATCTGATCGTAGGCCCCCAGCCACACGGTGAAATTCCTATTCACACTTGTACTTGGCCGCTTGCAGCCAGCTGGGTTCATACCCTTGAAGGGCCCTTGGGCGGGGTTTCTGTCCGAGCCTGAGATGATGGTAGAAGTCCCACTGAGGTTGCCGTGGAGGTGGCATCCCGTTACTTACGCCTTAACCCTGTCCTCCGTGGACTCAGGGTGGTTCCCATATTTCTCCGTTCAGCGGTGTTTCGGTTGAAAACCTAATGCTAACAGATGTCATCACGGTGGTCCTTGCACGGGTTGGCGGGGAAGGGGGCTGATTATCTTTTTCGGTTAAGAAGGTTCTCCACCCTCACCTGTGAGCGTGGCTGTGTCCACCTAACTGTCACTCGAAAGAATTGCAGGGGCTCCGTGGGCTCCGGTGGCCATTAAAGGAAGCGTACAATTCAACTCACCCTGAGAACATACCTGGACATTGAATTGAAGTCAGTTATGATGGGGGGGCGTCCTAATGTTACGATTTTTACAAACAATCTGTGGGGCGCTTGGGTGACTCCGTCCCGGTTAAGCGTCAGACTCTTGGTTTCGGCTCGGGTCATGGTCTTCGGTTCGTGGGTTCAAGCCCCATGTCAGGCTCCGCGCTGAGAATGTAAAGTCTGCGTGGGATCCTCTCTCTCCTTTTCTCTCTGCCCCTCCCCTGCTCACTCACTCTCCCTCCCTCCCTCCTTCTCTCTCTCCCTCTCTCAGTAAACTTCAAAAAAAAGTAAAATCAATTCTTTTAAAAACAAAAAGATCTGTGACAAAGTTTAAGTGCATATAGAAATCTGGAAAGTTCTCAAATAGATTTGCCTTCCTAGAAAGGGTGTGTATGTGTGTTTAATTCAGATTTTTTGAATAATGGTTTTTATGATTTTTATTTAGACCAGTCACAGGAGAGATGGATGAAGCCGACTCCGTATTTTTAAAATTTAAGCAGGCAGCTGATGACTCTTTTTCGCTTACATCTTCGAATGCCGAGCCCATTTTTGTAGAAGGTACGGCCCTCTGGCTTCTTTCCCAGGTGCCACGCTGGGAGAGTGCCGGGACCCCTATCCTTCTGTCCACGGGACACGGCCTGGGGCGGCCCAGAGCCAGTGGAACAGTGGCCGCTTTTTCTTCCCTCAGACCCTTGCACGGCCTCACTGAGGAGTGAGATCGAGTCGGATGCCCGCGAGTTCGAGGCCGAGTCCTGGAGCCTCTCTGTGGATGCCGCATATGCAAAGAAACAAAAGAGAGAGGTGGTAAAGAGGCAGGATGTGCTCTATGGTGAGAAGTTCTGCGCCGTCACGCTGACCTTCTACTTCCTCCTTTTCCATCTTTGTTTTGATTGATTGCGCCTGGGAGTCTGGGCTCCGTCTGCTCCCCCAGGGCAGCCCAGCTCTCCCAGTCAGGGAACAGGTGGCCAGGGAGGGCTTTGTGGGAACGCATCCCTGAGGACGAGCGTGGCCGAGTGCCCAGTCCTGACTCATCCTGACCCTGCTGGTGACCCTGAGAGAGAAGACTCCCCCAGGCCTGTCCCAGCCATCCCTGGTGACCACAGACAACGCCCCCCCCCCCCAGGGGTTTGGGAGACATGTGACGTAGCACTGGCTCCCGGTTGGGACACCCCTTCCCGCTGGCCATTGGAGGACCTGGCTGTGGACAGCCGCTGTCCTGAGATGGGAGGTTACAGGTCACTGTGCAAAGCATGGCTCTCAGACAAGAGCCCGTCCCCAGGCCAGGTGCCGCATCGGGTGCCCTACGTAGGTCCCTCTGGGCCTCTGGACCTCCTATAAGCAGGATGACAAAAGCCCAAGACAGCCACACTGGAATCTGAGGCCCTTCTCTCCCCAAAGCCCTCGCTTGTTCTTACGATTCTCCCTCCATGGGAATCATTCACCAGGACTGACACCGTTATGTCGTCCGAGGAGGCATTTTCTGCCCCTCATCGGGGTTCTGTGAGGAGATTCTGGCACACACGGGTCTTCATCGTTCGCTGGTGTCCGGCTGGTGGTGGTATCCACACTTCCGTGTCACACACTGAGCTTTCTGCCCAGGCCGGAGGGGGTTGGGGTGTGGGCAGGAGGGGACCCTGATAGATGCTTTGCCTCAGGACTCCAGAGCAGGGCAGAGATCCTGCAGGGAGGTGCAGAGAGGACCAGTCTGGATGCTTCCATCCAGGCAGCCCTTTGCCACATTGTCTCACCCTCTGGGCAAACACAGTCTGCGTCCAGCCCCCATGGCCGGCAGCTCTGGGCCGGGCTGTGTTGACCTTTGGTCTCCTAACAGCCTCAAGGCCGTGATTTAAACAACAGGTAAACTCCAACACAGAACCTGATTTTTCTTTGCCTTTTCACAGAGAATTAAATTCCTCACCTGAGCTCTGCTTTCTTGTCAGTTGTAGTCTGGGTCTGGTCAGTGACGTGCACAGACGTGTGAGTTTCACATCCGAAGGAATAGTGTTCATCGGAACAGTCTTCCTGATAGGGCGCCTGGGTGGCTCAAGTTGGTTAAGTGTCCGACTTCGGCTCAGGTCATGATCTCACAGTTCGTGGGTTCGAGCTCCGAGTCGGGCTCTGCACTGACAGCTTCGAGCCTGGAGCCCGCTTTGGATTGTCTCCCTCTCTCTGCCCCTCCCCCGCTCACTCGCTCACTCACACTCTCTCTCTCTCAAAAATAAACATTAAAAATCAAATTAAAAAAAAAAAAAAAACAAAGAACAATCTTCCTGCCTAAAACAGCCTTGAAATGTCTTCGGGCATGAAATCTCTCCTGTGAGTTTGAGGTCCCAGCACACATCCCGGGTCCTCTCTTTCCTGATATCACCCCAGCCCTGGCTGCTCCCTTAAATTAGGACCTCCACAGCGCTGGGCCCCGGGGCGGGGGGAGGGGGGGCCTGCCCCCAGGCGGGGAGACCCCCAGGGCCAGGGCCCCGGTGCCGAGCTGGAAGCGGCCAGCCGAGCACGCGGTGGGCAGGCGGCACGCATGATGCCATCGTGGGCGCCCTCCCCGGCACGGGTGAGTCCCCTGGTCCGTGTCCCCGCAGAGCTGGTGCAGACGGAGGTGCACCACGTACGGACGCTCAAGATCATGCTGAAGGTCTACTCCAGGGCCCTGCAGGAGGAGCTACAGTTCAGCAGCCAGGCCGTCAGCCGCCTCTTCCCGGGTGTGGACGACCTGCTGGACTTGCACAGCCACTTCCTGTCTCGGCTGAAGGAGCGCCGCCGGGAGTCCCTGGAGGAGGGCAGTGACCGGAACTACGTCATCCAGAAAATCGGGGACCTCCTGGTGCAGCAGGTGGGCACAGCTGGGCTGGGCCGGGCTGGGCCGGGCCAGTCTCTGGTGACTGAGAGGCCGCGGCCCTGGGCCGTCACAGGAGTGCGTGCAGCTCGTGGTTAGAAGCAGGCGCCTGCGTGCCAAGCGCGCTTGTGCGAACACGTCCGCCCTTGCAGGCGGGGCTTTTGTCTGGTTCGCTGGCTGGGTTGTGTTGTGTTGTGTCTTGTTTTCCGGTTTTGACCTCCGTGTCTCCGGCTGTTAGAAGCGTATCTGTGGTAAAGGGCCCCAAGCCTAACCTGACTCCCGAGTCGACTTGTGAGCCTCGGCCAGGATTGACAGAGGGGACCCGTCAGCCCCCATCCGCCCTCGGGGTGCTCGAAGCATCCAGAGTCCGCGAATCAAGAGCTAATTAGAAGAATACCCCTTTTGCTTTGAAATCTCTCTAACGTGCTGCGGCTCAAATTGATGCTCCCTTCTTGGATTTCAGGAAATGTTACAGCACTGTGACGTAGTAAAGCCCATTAGAAGGTTTTCTCCTTTTGCCTCACTGCACCTTGTATCGAGGCCCCCGTACTGAAGCGTTTCTCTGCCTGTGTGTATGTTAGACAAGAAAGGGGAATCCCAAGTCAATTCGAGGCACATTTCCATGGAATCAACTGAGCCAGACGAGAACACGCCCTGGTGGTTTGCACGCTCCCTCTCAGTAACCTCTCCGTTGTCTTTCTGCAGTTTTCAGGCGAAAATGGGGACAGAATGAAAGAAAAATATGGTGTCTTTTGTAGTGGCCACAACGAGGCGGTCAGTCATTATAAGTTGCTGCTGCAGCAAAACAAGAAATTTCAAAGCTTGATCAAGGTAAAAAAAAAAAAAAAAAAAAATTTTTTTTTTTTTTTTTTAATTAAAAAATGCATCCTCTTTGCTCTAGAATGTTTTCCACAGGACTGTAATCTTTGAAGAGCTTAAGGTTATAAGGTACCTGTTATAAACCAGGGGTTTTCAAGTTTATTTATTTATTTTGAAAGAGACAGAGACAGTGCAAGTGGGGGAGGGGCAGAGAGGGGGCTGCACAGAGAAGCAGGTTTGCACTGTCAGCTTGAGCTTTTCTGATGGGCTCGAACTTCATCAAAACCGTGAGATCATGACCTGAGCCAAAACCAAGAGTCGGACGCTTAACCCACTGAGCCACCCAGGCACCCCAAGTTTTTCTTTTTCTTTCATTTTAACCACAAACCTGTTCAGAGCACGTCAGTGAAATCTGGAGAATTATGAATAAACAGCAAAGCACACCCAGGGCTTTGTTCCTGGCCACACCAGCAGGCCACGGCGTGGAACCTGCTGACCACCACTCCTCAGACTGCTGAGGGGACACAGGTGTCATTCCCTCGTCCTGGGAACCACCCCTCTGAGCCACCCGCCCGCCTTCATAAGCAGCCTACTTCCTCCATGCCTTTTGCCCCCCCCCCCCCCCCACCTCGCCTCCTTCCCTCTCTGGTCCCCATTTGTCCCTTGAGGCCTGGGAAATGACCCACACCTGCCTTCTGCCTAGTCACGTGCAGGTGCTCACAGCCCAGAACTGTAATGCAATGATCCAACCTGAGTCCTCGGGAGGGCAAGCCCCTCTGTCTCCTCGCATCCTTGGGTGCACTCTGCTATAAGTCATTGTCGCGATGTCTCCTGCAGCTTGGTCCCCGAGGACTTTAGTTGGAAGTGATAGCCAATAACTAGTGGTCTAGAGTTAAGAATGACAGGTTTTGGGGGCACCTGGGTGGCTCAGTCGTTAAGCATCCGTTTCTTGAGTTCTGCTCGCGTCACAAGCTCACGACTCATGAGTTCGAGCCCCAAGTCAGGCTCTAAGCTGGCAGTGTGAGCCCACTGATTTTCTCCCTCTACTCCTTCTCCTCTGTCTCCTTCATGATGCCTCTCAAAATAAATAAACTTAAAAAAAAAAAGAATGACAGGTTTTTAAACTCCGCCCCATTGCAGTTACAGTGGATGTAGACGGGAAAGGCAGAGGGTCCGTTTGAGGTTGTCCCTGGAACTTCACAAACCCCAGAGTCCTCCTCTGGTCCTCCTCAAAAGTGGCTCCACAACGGCTGCATTCCTGGAGTGCTTGAGTGCCGAGGGAGCAGAGAAGCAGAATGTGTGGTATGCTCTGGAGGGCACCAGAAACCGTGCTCCGCCCTGCCAGGAGCTGGCTTCCGGTGACTGCTTCTTGGGTTCTTAGCCAGAGGTGTGCGTCGGGTGCCAGCAGGGGGCTGCCTCAGAGGCACAGGCTCAGGGTAGTTCCAGATGGTTCTGGCAGCCGTCAGTCGGGGTCCTCGTGTGTATATGCATGCATGTGTATGTGGGCATGTGTGATAATACAGCTCTCTGGGTGATTCCCTACCGCCCCCTGTATTTTTGAGAGAGAGAGAGCACAAG